TATAGAGAAATGTCTAATCTATTTATTCATGTACTTAAAATCTTAAATTACTTTTTCTAGAGTTATTGCAAGACTTTCATGAAACAGATCAAAATTAGAAGACCGTTAACCGGACAAGCCGAGGAAAAATTTAATATGCATTGAATAAGTGTCCACATGATGTACAAAATGTAGATGATGAATCGCCTTTTGGTGCATTACAATTAGAACAAAACTCTGCTAACGTAGAATAATAGAGAGGTGGTGCATAGTAATCTTGACGTTCATAAATCGATACTGGATTAGCAGCAACTGGATTCGACTGATATAATACAATTCCTGGAGCAACAGAACGACCAATATCAATGACTAACTAAAACAAATAAAAAAAGCTTATTAAAAAGAATTTCCCAAGAGTTTATCCAAATGGACTATGAAGACAAGAGTTATATACCCATTTTCTCTAACCGATGTTTATCTGATACTATGTAAAGGAACACTTAATATAGTAATCAACATTGCCGTTTTTGCATAAAAACACTTTACGAACTTTCATTTTTAATTTTCAGTAATATTCTTCAAAAAAAACTTTCAATGTCCTATAAATGAATAATCCTTACATGATGAATAAGTTGATTATTATGACGATATCCATATCCTTGAGATTCAGCTCTTGAGGTATCTAATCGCCAACTACATGGTATTGGTGATCTTGATGAATATTTTATTGATTCTTCAGTAATTGCTGCTCGCATGCGTGTTTCACGTCGAAATAGTGTTATTAAAATTCCACAAGTGAAAACGATCATTCCTATACCACCCAAAGCAAATCCTACAGCAACTAATACAGGAAATCCATGACTATGAGATTCACCACTTTTTACTCCACCAACAATAAACAAGATAATTCCACTTATTGTACTCAAACCAAAAACAATAGCCATAGTAACTAAAATTTTATTCGATGAAATTCTACGATTTATGTTATTAATTGATTCTTGAAATTCATTTTGACTAATAATACCATTTAGATGAATTGGATATGTTGAATCAAATTCAGCTTTTAAACATCCATCTGAGATATCAAGAATAAACATTTTATAAAATAGAAAAATAATCATTACTTACTTTGCACCATTGATACAGAAACTGAATTGGGCATTGTGGGAAAATTAATCATTTTTAGGTGTCTTTGAATGAAACTATATCGAAATAAATTCATTAGGAACAAGGAACTTTAAAAAATGAAAATAATTCGTTTAAACGGTTGATTTGCTCGAAAGAATATTTTTGTAAAAGAAATTCCTCTTATCAAAAGAAAAGGAACAGGTTTCAATTGATTGAAGGTATCCTTATTGATTCGTTTGCAATCTATCTCAGAGATGCATCGATTATTCTTCAATATATTGTTACGCTTCCAATCATAAATGACAAGAAATCGATGGGACAGTTTCAACTCTATTTCAAATACTCGGATATAGTTGAAACTAGCATCGTTTTAATGCTATTTTTAAACATGATTTCCTTCTTTGTAGATCTAATAGCACGTGATGTTTATGACATTATAATGATGATAGAATTATTGATAATAATATATCGAATAGTCGGATTCTGATTCGATGCCTTATTTGAATTACCGGAAGCTGTTTCGACATTTCGCTTGAGGGAAGTATAGGAGGTAATGAAGCTATAGGAGATGGTCCAAGATAGTATGACGAGGTATTGGGGATGGGGGCACATTAGTCCTCTAATTTAAAAGTTTTAGGTTCTATTGAGAACTGAGCTTAAATGACAACCATAGTTATGATTACTGTGTACATCGAGACGAAAATGGGTCGTGGTTCTTAGAGAGGCACTACGCGCATCCACCACGCTGCGACACTAAGATAAAAGGTGAGTTAGGCGAGAAAACACGCTTCTCTCCTGTAATTGTTCACAATTACTGTTTTCAATTGTGGAACAGATAAAAGAGGAATGAAACAATAATTATTGCACTCAAATTTTAGACTGTTTTTTCTAAAAAATCTTTTTTTACCCGAATTTCCTCCATGAATGATCACTTACATCATCGATATTTCTTGTTTCACCTACGTTTCCTATACCTCTATTACCTTCTATATCTTCATTACCTTCTATACCTGTACTGGAAGAAAATGGAAGAAGCTTCCGGAAGCTCAAATAAGGCATTATATGACATTTGAGACTTACTCATATCTCTATCAGTTTTTCTGGGATCGGAACGGATTTTCTTCAAAAACATTCAGCAGTGAATTCACTACAAAACCCTACAGAAAAAGTCAACACTGATATGAAAGGAAAAGCTTATCATTATAATACTACGAGAATCTATCAGTAATAACTTTCAAAATGTTTTCATTGATACTGGCTCATGTTTCTTGCTTGTATTGAAGTACCATATAGGAGATTCTACGTAGAATATTTCCTTTTCAAAGAACTAATCCTTATCTTCCATACTTTATCTTACTATTTCGCATATAAACTATTCGCAGTAGTACTGTTTCAGAATACCTCCAGCCTTGCATAATATCATTTAGTGACATTTGCACAAACCAAAACATTGGTACAGCAGAAAATACTAGGATGAGATGCTCGTATTTTTCCAAAAATTGAAAAAATATGGTTAAGAACAGGAAAATTTCCGAAATTTCATGAAAACTAACGTTTATTCTAGGCTTTTGGTCGAAGAGTCCTAATGCGTATTCACAAAGTACAGCTTTCAAAGATCAACGAAAATGTTTGTTTAATTTGTCTCAATGGTTTGACACCATAAAAACTCAAAGAGACGTCAAGCAAAAAGCTAGAGGATCAATGATGCTGAGGCACCATTATTTTTTAGTACTATCAGTATGCTATGAAACCACAGATAAATTAAACTGCTTTACACTTAGGATCGTTCGTCCAACCCGAAAAATACGCAACCAAATTTCAGAGCTAGAGGTATTTCAACGAAGTCGTCCTCTTTTTCAGATTTGAGTGCTAATTTTTTTTTCTGAAGAATCTCTCATGATTTTCATTCTCATCATGAATTTCTAAAGAGGCATTTTAAGAGGAATACGATTTTTCTGTAACCTACTGACTCGAGTTTTGTTGATATCACAAAAACAAGTGTTGTGTAATTAAAAATATTCGCTCTGAAGACACTGTCCTAAACATATTCTTCGCCAAAAGCCAGTTGAAGAGAAACCCTTCCATGAAATTTTCCGAAACCCTTGTTTTCTGTACAGCATTATATCTAATTTTTAGCGAGCTCAAACCTCTTCGAATGCTAAAAGATTACAATACTGAACGGTTTGTTTTTGTACGTTTGAACTCACAAAACGTATTGACAATTCTTATACATATGCTTCGTGAGGAAAGTGACTTTACAGTATTGAATATCTTCTACTCATTTCATAGAGAACTTCCAAACATTTTTGTCAGCAGGAAAATAACTACTATGATGCAAAAATAGTAGCTACTATACAATCTTAGTAGTATTACTTAAAGATAGGCATGTCACTAATGTCCGCGCCAGAATAAAAGAGGGGTGAGTGTAAGCTCAATAACTCGACAACCGCAATATCTAGCTACCTGCGGTTTTCACCAATCGAAAGAGGAGGAGCGGGCACGTCTTTTTCTTCGATAATGTATAAGACGAAATTCTTTTAAAACTAATGATATTTGAAAAACATACAAAACAACTC